AATTTAAACAGAATATCTTAATTATGCAAAAGAGCTGAGTTAATGTAACTCTGTAAGGTTTCCCCCATTGTTTTTCTTTCAGAAACAATAACATCTCCTGCAGATCTACAGCAATAACCTGAGAGACTGTAAAACTGCAATTGTACCTTAAACTTAATTGTCAGATTCTGCTGCAGAAATATTTTAAGAAAAAAGCTTTCCAGACGGCTTGAATATAGGATCACTTATGAACTGAGTTACTTTTATTCCTGTTGAAAATTGTCTTGAACAGAGGTAACAGAATGATAACATGTAAATACCTCACTGCAGTGATTGACTTCTCAAGCATCAGTTATAGAAATCTAATATGTGAAATGTGATGAAGGGTTTAAAAAGTCACAAAAAATTTCCACCTGTGTCAGAATATAATTAAATTCTTATTTAAGATTATTATCTTACCAAAACATAAGGTAAGGTAAGGTAAGGAGAAAATGGTATTAGATATTCTTTCCAGTGGAATTTTTCAACACTTCCACTGATTTCATAAGTTCTATATGTCCAGTTCACTGAATCAGTAAGGACTTAACATAAACTATTTCTAAGTTGCACTAGACTTCCATCTTCAACTTGAAGATAACAAAAAGCTTCCTTATACAGGTTTGGATTGCCTGTATACTGATGAAAGCTTTTAGATTACAAGGAATGTTAATTAAATTACTATCAAAATCCTATCTGAAAGAATGAATGATTCTATTTTAAGATCCAAAGCAAATGATTATTTCAATAACTACTACAGAGGCCAATGTTAATACTATAAAAGATGGTATAAGTTGAACAGGGTAAAATGGTAAAATGAGGCTATGTTCCCTGGTTTGTCCTATTAAAGAAGTTAAAGTTGTTTTAAAATAAGCATATTTTCCTTCTAAAATAAGCATATTTTCCTTCAGATACAGTAAAATTTAGGTTTACCATTCTAAATCAGATGACATAAAACTATAAAGTGATCTATAGTGGAATGGCCAGATATGAATTCTGTCCATTTATGATTATTATTTAATTATTTCCCCATAGTTTCAGTGCTGTCACATCTATTCCATGTGTCACTACAATATAAAAAAGATGTTGAGACTCTAGAAAGAGCACAGAGAAAAGCAGCGATGATGATCAGGGGACTGGAGGCTAAAACATATGAAGAACGGTTGCAGGAATTGGGTTTGTCTAGTTTAATGAAGAGAAGGATTAGGGGTGTTCTGATATCTAAGGGGCTGCAACAAAGAAGAGGAGGTTGATCTATTCCCCAAAGCACCCAAAGGCAGAACAAGAAGCAATGGATGGAAACTAATCAAGGAGAGATCCAACCTAGAAATAAGGAGAAATTTCCTGACAGAACAATTGGTGAATTGCCTTGCCTTCAGAAGTTGTGGGCGCTCCATCACTGGAAGTTTTTAAGAAGAGATTGGACAACCACTTGTCTGAGAATGGTATAGCGTCTCTTGCTTGAGCAGGGGGTTGGACTAGAAGACCTCCAAGGTCTCTTCCAACTCTGTTATTCTGTTAATTAAAAAAGGGAATCCAAAACTCAGAAGGCCAGATCTCCAGGAGGATGATAGCATTGCCCTCACCTAGCCAGATTTCAATAATACATTCCAGCTGTCATGAAGAAACCTAGCAATTACAAATGGATCTAGCATTTACTCCAACCAGTGTGAATCCAAGGCCCCCAGTGATCTGAAGACTAAGATCTAGAAATGGACCATGCTTTCCAGACTTACTCAACAGGATTTTCTAGAATGCAATGTAACTAATGGTATCAAATACTTTTGAGAAGCTCAGAACAAAAGAAATGGATTGTATTTCTATTGTCCAATTCTTAATCAAGGATAACTTAGCCACAACTAAGTTAATTCCCAAAATGAGATCAGAAACTACAAATCAAAATTATTTTGATAGCTATTGACTAAATATGTATTACCAGAACACAAGGCAGAAATGACAATGGTTCAGATTTTATACAGAACTATAGTATTACACTATAGAGCCAATTCACACCATATTTATCACAAAACAATCATTGTATGTGATAATACATTGTTAAGAATTGAGAATCATTGTTGAGAAAAGGTGAATATTGGTGATAAGAGAGCCAGTTCTCAGGGGAACAAAAACTATAGTCTGCAGACCAGGCAGTCAATCTAGGGAGATATATTGTCTTCCTGGAGCAAAAATCAAAGATGGAACTGAGTACCTTACTAAAATAATCAACCCCACAGATTACTAGCCCTTTCTTCTCCTACATGTGGGAAGCAATGACACAACAATAAATCTGAAAACAATAATGAGATTAGAAACAGCTAGGGAAGAAAGTTAAAGAATTAGGAGCTCAAGTGGTGTTTTCATTTATACTTCCAACAAAAGCCAACATCCAGTGAGGGAGCAAAGGATTTTAGAAACAAACCACTGGCTTAAAAACTGGTGTCATCAACAGAACTTTCACTTCCTTGATCATGGTCTGCATTACCTAGATGAAGGCTATTGGCAATGGATGGACTGCACCTCACAAGAACTGAAAATATATTTGGAAAATGACTGGCTCATCTTACCAAAAGGGCTTTAAACTAAAATTGGGGGGAGAAGGGGGGCAATCTTCACAACCTTTAGAACCTAATTCCAAACAAAAACTAGATAACTAATCACATAAGGAGGCAGGGAGTAAAGAGAAAGAAATAAAAAAAGAAAAACATAATGAAGAGGGAGTGATGGAAAGGATGGAAATCCCAGTTATTAAGTAGGAGATATAAGAAACATATCCAAGGACTCAAATGCCTGTACACTCATGCTCAAAGTTTAGGGAACAAACAGGGTGAAACTTGAAGTATTAGTACATAAAGACAGATATTATATAGTTGCCATTACTGAAACTTGGTGGGATGAAGCTCATGACTGGAATGTACTGATGGAAGGATACAAACTATTTAAAAGAAACAGACCTAACAAAAGAAGAAGTGGAGTTGCACTATATATAAAAGATCACTACAGCTCTACAAAAATACATAAAACCAAGGATGAAAACCTCCTAGAATCCATATGGGTCAATATAAAAGGGAAAAAATGACATTGCTATAGGAATATACTACAAGCCACCCAACCAAGCTGAAGAAATAGATGAATTCTTTGCTAATCAATTAACAAATGTATGTAGGAAACAAACCACAGTAGTAATGGGAGACTTTAACTACCCTGGTATCAACTGGGAGACAAACTCTGCAGCAAGTGGGAGATCGAATAGATTCCTAACCAACTTAGCTGACAACTTGATCATCCAAAAGGTAGCGGAAGGAACTAGAGGAAAAGTTATATTGGACCCAATTCTTACTAATCGAGAAGAAGTGATAGAGGGAGTTGAAGTTGCCAGAACCTTGGGCAAGAGTGACCACGTCATAGTGGAATTCAATATAATGCAAACACAAGTAATAGAATATAATCCAACCAGTGTCTTAAACTTTGAAAGAGCTGATTTTAACGAACTCAGAGAGAGTCTAAGCAAAATTTCATAGATAAAAATCCTAAAGGGGAAAACAACTCAAAAGGTGTGGGAAACACTGAAAAATATGATCGTAAAAGTCCAGTGCAACACATAGCACTGAAAAAGAAAAACAAGAAATCCAAGAAGAAACCAGCATGGTTGCACAAATATCTCTCTGATAAAGTGAAAGACAAACTTGGACTTCAGCAAGACATTTGACAAAGTAGAGCACAACCTACTTCTTGATAAACTAGAAAAATGTGGAATAGACAACATCACCCCAGATGGATTTGTAAGTGGGTGACAAACCATACTCAAGAGTAGTCCTCAATGGTACTACATCTACAGGAAGGGAAATGAGCAGTGGGGTACCACAAGGTTCCGTCTTAGGCCCAGTACTCTTCAATATCTTCATAAATGACTTTGATGAAGGAAAAGAAGGGAAACTCATCAAATTTGCAGATGACACTAAGCTGTCAGGAATAATCAACACCTCAGAAGACAAGCTTAGGATCCAAAAAGATCTTAACAGACTTGAACAATGGGCCCCATCCAACAACATGAAATTTAATGTGGAGAAAAGCAAGGTTTTACACCAAGGCAGGAAAAACCAAAGGTACAAATACAGATTAGGCAAAATCTGGCTCAGAAACAGTAACTGTGAGAGGGACCTTGGAGTCCTAGTGGACGATCACTTAAACATGAACCAGGTGTATGCAGCAGTAACCAAAAAAGTTAACACAATCCTTGGTGGTATAAACAGAGGCATAGAATCAAAATCACGTGAAGTATTATTACCACTTTATAAATCCTAAGTAATACCACACCTGGAATACTGCATCCAGTTTTGGTCACCACATTCCAAAAAAGATGTTGAGACTTAGGAAAAAGTGCAAAGAAGAACAACTAAGATGGTTAAGGGTCTGGAAACAAAAACATATGAAGAATAGTTGCAGGAATTGGGTATGGCCAGTCTAGAGAAAAGAAGGACTAGAGGTGACATGATAGCAGTATTCCAGTATTTGCGGGGCTGCTACAAAGAAGAGGGGGTCAAGTTATTTCCAAAGCACCAGAAGGCAAGTCAAGAAATAATGGATGGAAACTAATCAAGGAGAAAATCAACTTAGAATGAAGGAGAAACTTCCTAACAGGACAATTAACCAGTGGAACAGCTTGCCTTCAGAAGTTGTGAGTGCTTCATCACTGGAGGTTTTTAAGACAAGACTGGACAGCCACCTAACTATAGGATCTCCTGCTTGAGCAGAAGATTGGACTAGAAGACTTCCAATGTCCCTTCCAGCTCTCTTCTGATTGATTGATTGATTGAATGATTGTTACAGATTATTGTTTGATCTTAGAAATGTCACTAGCTTATGAACTATAAGCTTATACATTAAAAAGATTATAAATTACTTCAAACTTGGTTAATGTGTACCAAAAATGGCAGAATTAATCCAATAGCTGCAACAGTAGTGAAAATTCTTCAAGTGTAACTTACCATAAATAAGTCACGAGCACCTATATCAACTGCTAGCAGAAAGGCCTTTTCAAATCTTTGGTGCCTATAGAATGAACAGAAACAAAAATAATTGAAATTGATGGTATTAATTACATGTAACAGACACAAATATGTAACCACAGCCATGAATTCTAGTTCCACCTTGGGACTAGGGTCAGCAGGGTGATCATGGGCCAGTCACTTTCTCTCTTAGCCTTAGGAAATAGGCAAGGGCAAACTACTACTGAAATTTTGCCATGAAAAGTACAGGGACATGTCCAGTCAGTTGCCTCCCTGCCCCCATCAAATCTAGATGAGAGTAAGGGGCAAGGGAAGGGAAGTATCCTGCACATCAATGTCTGATTCCAAATTCATCATTTTTTTTTTTTACATTGTAAGTGAAATGTACTGTAAATAAGCTCAGGGCAAAGAAAGAGCTAAGACCGCTGCCACCTCTATTTCTGATCACCTCTCCAACAAAAGTCACTTCATAAAATAAGCAAAATAGGTTTGTATGTGACATACAACCACAGCACTTCTCTACACTGAAAATTTTTTGCAAAATTAAAGAGCTACAGTTCTACTTATGACACAAATCTTGCCATTGTATTCCAACATAGTGATGGTGGTGGAGAGAGGAACTAAGAACATTCAGGCATGTGTGAAAGTCTTCATACATGCTTAGCTAAAGCAAGCAGGTGCATATAGTAAGAAGTAAGACAGGAAAATTCTGATGGTTCACATTAATGACAACAAAAAAAGCATATTTTCAAAGTGTGCAATAGAAGAATATGGAAGACCACTCCTGAAATTTACCAAAAAATCCATGCGGACAGATAAGATAAAGCTAATAACAATGTAATTCTGGAAGATGGATCCTTGAGATTGGACGATACTCAACAAGCTACAGGTAGTTCTTGACTTACAACCACAAATGACCCCAAAATTTCTATTGCTAAGCAAGATAGTTGTTAAATCAGTTTTGCTCCATTTTGCAACCTTTCTTGCCAAAGTTCTAAGTCAGTGGTTCTCAACCTGTGGGTCGGGACCCCATTTGGGGTCGAACGACCATTTCACGGGGGTCGCCAAACAAGGCTGTCCGCCATTTTTTTCCCCTTTTCTTTGGCCACGCCCCTGGCACCCGGTGATGTATAAGTGGTTGGGGGTCACCACAACATGGGGAACTGTATTATGGGGTCGCGGCATTAGAAAGGTTGAGAACCACTGGTCTAAGTGAATCACTGCTGTTGTTAAGATAATGACATGGTTGTTAGGTGAATCTGGCTTTCCCATTGACTTTGCTTGTCAGAAGGTTGCAAAAGATAACCACATGACCCCAGGACACTGCAACCATCATAAATATAGGTCAGTTGCCAAGTGTCCAAATTTTGATCACATGACCACAGGATGCTGTAATGGTCATTAAGTGAAAAAGGGTCATAAGTCGCTTTTTCAGTCCCATTATAACTTTGAAAAGTTACTAAATGAAAGGTTATAAGTTATAATTGTACTAATGGTATTTATGACATGGCAAGGTAAAAGTCTGCAGGATGCCTAGTTTCTGATATTGCCTCCAGGAAAAGAAAACACAAAGAGAACAATAGTGGGAATATGGAGCATAAGAAGCATGAACATGAAAAAGCTCAACACAGTGAAAGGTGAAATGAATTTACTACACATTGATATCTTAAGGATCAGCTAATTGAAATTAACTGGATTTGGATCCCTTTTGGATCATGCTGGTTACTTCTCGGAACATACAGAAAAATAAGCAGGAAGTTGAAAGTCCCAGACAGCTCACAAGCAGGCTAGTGGGCAGGTAAAAAACAGCTGCAGCATGGCAAGACCAGCTCTGCCAGATGGGTGCTTGTGCACCAGTGGTTGGTATAGCATGAGCATGGTAGAGCCAGGGATGGCTGGTGCAGGAGGGAGTGATTGCATCAGCACAGGCAAGCAGGTAGACATGTGCTACAGAGTACCAGATTCCCAGGTACTACATAGCCAGGGTCCTCAGGAGAAAATGCCAAGGGAGTGACTTGATACTTTCCCTTACAGCTTTCCCATTGACTTTGTTTGTTGGAAGCTGACAGGAAATCACTAAACAATGCAATCATGTGACATCATGCTTTTTGACTGCATTGCTAATGCAGGCAGATACTACTCTGTATTTCAAATTTTCTTCCATTACATTCAATTCCACTCAAGCAAGTTTAGTTATGCTCACTGTATTTTTTTTTATTTTCTAGATAACCAGGTATGGGAATTTTTCTTTGAGGAGTTCATCCTCTTGGCTTTACCATATTTTTCGGTATGCTTATGATCTATTCCACCCTTCTCCTTTAAGGCAAACAAAATTCTGATAATTCATACAGTACAACCTAAGGATCACTGAGGCTAAGTCAGAACCTTCCCAGTTCTGGTCACTTTTCCACTTTTCCAATTCCACTTTTTCATTAGTAGCCAAGCTTTTTGAAGAAAAAAAAAACAAATTAATGTAACTAAAACAATAAACACCAGTAAAATAAGATAAGCACAATATTAATAAAGTCATAATGAAACTTTCATGAAGTCCTGATATTCTACTTAAATGTAGAAGGAAATCATACTAAGACTCAAAAATATTTTTACTAACTACTAACAACCAACAAGCTGTCTTAGTCATGCTCATTGACTGTGTAAGTAAATTCCTTGTGCTGGACTGATAAAAAGGAAAACTGCTTTTTCCCCTGCTTCTCTTCAGTAAGAATACAATTTTTGGAAAATCATCTGTGGGAGAAAAGTTATGTCACTTTGGATTTATAAACATTTCTTTAGAAATGAAGAAGTCTCAGAACCTGTCTCATAAAGAAGTCAAATGAAGGATGATGTGTGATTGCAAAAGATGTTTTTAAATCCTTCCAAAGGAAGACAATGAGACTAATGAATATTGGAAAAAAATCACATGTAATTAGGCAGAATAAAATGAAATTCCAAATTCTTCAAACTTTAAAATGTGCATGCAATGGAATATTATTCAAGCATTTTAACAACAAGCAATTGTATTTAAGCCTTTGAATGAATGATGCAAATAAGTAAAAATAACTATATCTCCCAGACATTTATTTCAAGGCTTACATGATCACTTTTAATTCAGTAATTCTGTTTGATATTTTAATTTAATACTTTACTCTTTCATTCAGTTTCTAGGCATCTAGCCCATTTCTTAAGCATAATATAATTATTCATAAGAAATGCTTTCCTTATAAATTCTCCTATTAGCAATTGTTGGGTCAGAAACAACATTCATGGAGGTACAAAATGAAAAATGATGTTTCATTAACTATAATTTGCAATATTATAACAGTTTTATTCTGCACCCTACTAAACGGCATTCCTCAGCTAACAGGGCCTGAAGTATGCCTATTTTGCTGTGCTCGTTCTGAGGGGTAGAACCAACTCCAAGTAACCTGGCCCTGAGCCATGAATTGCATCCAGAAGACACTGGCAACCCAGGCATCTCACAAATTAGTGGTATTACATATGCCGAGTAACCAGTGCCATTAATTACTCATATTGCTGCATTCTGCACCAGTTGAAGCTGTCAAACACAATTAACTTAATCTTTGATTCATTAATTTTCAGACCCATATTTTTTTATTTTTTTATATTAATAATACAAAATTAAAAACACATTGGACATAGATATGACATCACTGGTTCCATACATCTTCCGACATTTTACAGTAGTATTAGTACTCATATAGACATATAGTTCTTGAGCTTTGCTCACTATTTATAATATAAATATGAGCCGAGGTGGCACAGCAGTTAGAGTGCAGTACTGCAGGCCACTTTAGCTGACTGTGTTCAGCAGGTCAGCGGTTCAAATCTCACCGGCTCAAGGTTGACTCAGCCTTCCATCCTTCTGGGGTAGGTAAAATGAGGACCCAGATTGTTGGAGGCAATGTAAATATATATATACATTGCTTACTGGTGTACACCGCTTAGAAAGTGCTTGTACTTAAAGTGGTATATAAGTCTCATAAATAAATAAATAAATAAATAACATTAACACTTTCCCCCTTATTTCTATGTATCTATTTATCTTTTAAATATACATTTGTCTATAATCTATATTTTATTCTAACACTATACATTTGTCTTGGCTACCCTCTTATTGTCTATCCAATCATAAAATTGTTCCCAGATTTTGTAATACTTAGTTTCACTTTTATCCTTGAGTTCCCATGTAAGTCTATCCATTTCAGTGCAATTGAAAATTTCAAGTAATATTTCCTCTTCGGTTGGAGTATCTTTCTCTTTCCATTTTTGAGCAAAGGCTATTTGTGCCGCTTTATAGTAAATAATTTGTATCTTTCTTATATTTTCTTTCTATAATTCCCAATAAAAAAAATTCTGGTTTGGCCTCTATTGTTGTTGTTGTTGTTGTTAATTGCGAAGTCGTGTCCGACCCATCGCGACCCCATGGACAATGTTCTTCCAGGTCTTCCTGTCCTCTACCATCTTCTGGAGTCCATTTAAGTTCATACCTACTGCTTCAGTGACTCCATCCAGCCATCTCATTCTCTGTCATCCCCTTCTTCTATTGCCCTCAATCTTTCCCAGCATTAGGCCCTTCTCCAGTGAGTCCTTCCTTCTCATTAGGTGGCCAAAGTATTTGAGTTTCAACTTCAGGATCTGGCCTTCTAAAGAGCAGTCGGGGTTGATCTCTTCTAGGACTGACCGGTTTGAACGCCTTGCAGTCCAAGGGACTCGCAGGAGTCTTCTCCAGCACCATAGTTCAAAGGCCTCAATTCTTTGCGCTCAGCCTTTCTTATGGTCCAACTTTCACAGCCATACATTGCAACTGGGAAAACCATGGCCTGGACTATACGCACTTTTGTTGGCAGGGTGATGTCTCTGCTTTTTACTATGCTGTCTAGATTTGCCATAGCTTTCCTCCCCAGGAGCAAGCGTCTTTTAATTTCTTGGCTGCAGTCCCCATCTGAGGTGATCTTGGAGCCCAGAAAAATAAAATCTGTCACTACCTCCATTTCTTCCCCATCTATTTGCCAGGAATTGAGA